GGGTCCCAGCCACAGTGGTGGGGCCGTGGAGGCAAACGGCTCCACATGTGCAGGGAGCCAGACTGCCTGGCGCGGGTCCCACTCGGCAAACGCCATGTGCGTGGCAGTGGTGACAGGCCAGGGGACAATGTCCAGCCGCCCACCCCAAGGCTGCAGGTTCCATTTTCAAAGGGGCCAGAGCTGCTGCCGCCCCAGCCCGCCCCAGCCAGCGCTTAACCCCAGCTCAGCCCTGGCTCGACGTCCACTGGCCGGGGCAGCACTGGGGCTCCTCTTGACCAGGGCTTCCATCCAGCACTCGAGGTTCCCAAAAAAGCCCTCACAGGGATGAAAGATTTCCCACCTCAGCCCAGCTCTCGCACTGGGCATCCACCCAGAGGCACTGCCCAGGGTGCAGGATCCGTCCACCTCCCGCTGGGGTACGGGCAGGTCCGTCTGCCTGGGATGCGGTGGGCAGGACACGGCGGGCAGGACGTGGGGATGGCGTCTGGCCTGTGAGTCAGGCTGACAAAAGCGGGCTGGAGAGGAAGCACACACCCAAGGGATCCGTAATGACAGCACGTGGGGTGCTGGGTGCCCCCCCGAGGAGCCGGAAACCCGGGGGTGACGGGGACCCCAGGCACCCGCTTGGGGCCAGGCTTCGCCCTCGGGGAAAACTCTGAGAGAACTGGATCCCTGCCGGTGGCTGGGACCGGCTGCGCTGCCGGATTCCTCAGCCTGGCGTGTCCAAGGCTTGGTCTAAATTTGCTGCTATTGCCACGGGGAGGGGGGAGGTTGGGGGCCCACCTGCCCCCCACCAGGCACGGGGCCGAGCAGCTGGCGTGTCCCTCCGGGCACTGTTGGCCCTTGGCTTGAGCCTGACATCCCATGACGTGCATGGCTGGGACCTGCCGTGGCTGCGTGGCCGTCCAAAGCCCTGTGTGATCGTGTGCATGCATGTTCGTGAGCGTGCACATCCATGTCTGCTCACGTGTTCATCTGTTTACGTGCACATGTGCTTGTGTACACGCGTGTCCGTGTGCACGCGTGTGTGCACGCAGCTGCGGGGACAGGAGGAGCCGTGTTCCTGAGGCAGGAGTCTTCATCTCACCCTGCATCCCTGGGTCTGCCTGCGTGAAACCCCGGCACAGCCGCAGCGTGACAACGCATGCCCCCCCGGGAATGCCCCCCCTTTGCGTGTCCCTGCTGGGGACAGCAGGACGGCCCCAGCGCTCCCTATCACTTTCCC